GGCTAGACCGTGTTTATCTCTATTTCGCTCTACTTTCTGGGCTTTTCTTCTATAATCAACACGCCTGTATTGTTGAACACTAGGGTGACTGTGTAGCCTTCTTTCCTTGCATTCATTGATTCCTTTTTCACTCCGAATCCGTGCTAAGCTCCAGTAATTCCTACACAATATATAAATAGAGCAGTAAACAAGAACTAGGGAGCTTAACAGGGCAAAAGTGCAAGGAAATACATCAAATAACAATAAATCCATAGGTGAAACACAGTCAAATTATAGAGAATATTTGTGTTTATCAGCGAGAGAGTTTTCAGCAGCAACCAAGAGCTGCCCAATGGCACTATTTATAGGCCTCTAAGGCCAGCTTAAGAGTCACTAGCAATTAATGTGACCGTTACAATTCTTAATGATAATTAAGATTATAATATCAATGCATTAAATTGCTCTTAATGTTGTTGTAACTGCTGCATGTAGTAACTGCTGAATACGAGGCAATCAATGGGCGCGTTGCTATGAAACGTGAGGGTCACGTCTCAGCAAATAAGACGAACCTCGTTTGACAAATGAACGTTGTCAAACAGACGAACCTCGTACGACAGACGAACCTCGTCGAACGAGCGAACATAGTCAAACATGCGAACCTCGTATGACATACGAACCTCGTCAATCGAGCGAACCTTGTCAAACAGGCGAACCTCTTATGACAGATGAACCTCATCAAACAAGCAAACCTCGTATGACAGATGAATCTCGTCGAACGAACGAACATCGTCAAACAGGCGAACCTCGTATGATAGATGAACTTTGTTGAACGAACGAACATCGTCAAACTACGAGAACGCTAGGGTCACCCTCGTGCGAATACGTAGCTCATCCGCATGCTGCGAAGCAGTGCAAAGTGCAAAGTGCGCCTAACAAAACGCCACTTAGCGTCTCAACCCGATTAGCCTCGATCCCCGGCTCATTGGCTCACGGCCCACGACCCACGACCCACTAGAACTTATGAGAGATTAATTCAAATAAAACACTTCTCGGCTTGCCGTTGGCAAGCCTCGAACAAAGGACCTTTTGATACACCAAAACATAAACTTTACACTAGACTACTAAGCATTTATGAAAAATACTTATAGTTAATATATATATAGTTTGAAAACTTATTTTGGAAAACAGTTTTGACCAAAAAATCCAACAAAAGGAAATGTCACAAACTGGATGTGGCTGAACCACCAAGAAATCAAAGAGATCCTCATCGGATTACAGCATACGCTCAACCTTGTTAATTGATAGTTTGGCTATGAACATCATACTTTACATGGATTCTCATATGAGAGAGCCCTGATTTTCATGGAGTTTGGTTTTTTTTTGCCAAAAACGACCCAGTTTCAGCCAACTGGCTGAAACTGGGTCGCTTTTGGTAAATAAGTTTCAAAGAGGTCATTTTTGATGAATAAGTTTGGAAATGGGTTGGTTTTTAAAATTTGTCCTAGGTTTTTCTTCCATTAGTATCCTTCAGCTATATCAGACCCTGCGTTAAAAAATCACCAACTTAAGATGCAATTTTGAACAACATCCAATTTAAGATACAATTTTGAACAACGTCCCCTCTTCCCATTTATGGAGAAAAACTATAAAACCAAAGTTTTGCCCTGATTTATGTTCAAACCCGCCATGTTCGAGAATCATTTGGGGTACGATTACTGTATTGGGTCTTAGTTCCCACACTTGTCGTATCAATAGCTATGTTTGGATTTAAGCTGCTATAATTGGGTTTAAAACTAACTCATTATGGTCATTTTGGGTTTAAAAACGATTTCAGAAGTGGATGTACTTAAAAATAAATCAAGGTGAAACCTTGGGTTTCTTAACAAAATAAAAAGAACAAAAAACCCACAGTTTTCCCTTAAAAAAAGTAGAAACAGACGAAGAAAACACCGCTATAATTGGGTTTAAAACTAACTCATTATGGTCATTTTGGGTTTAAAAACGATTTCAGAAGTGGATGTACTTAAAAATAAATCAAGGTGAAACCTTGGGTTTCTTAACAAAATAAAAAGAACAAAAAACCCACAGTTTTCCCTTAAAAAAAGTAGAAACAGACGAAGAAAACACCAGA